GTCGCCGCCGGTCTTCGCCTCCGTCGGAGCCAAGCCCGCGAGCCCCGTCGCCGCCGGTCTTCACCCCCGTGATCTCGCCGTCGAGCTCCCCAACCACTCCTCTCCTCTTTGCTCCACTGAGAAGTTTTCGGCACTAAACAATCTCCAGGTTTGATTAGTTGTGTTCTGTAACCATCGTAGTGCTAGCTGACCATAGTTACCTGAATAATCCATTCAACTCATCGATTTTGTCCAATTGAGACCATAGTTACCTGAATATTCTCTTGCTTTCATTTTTCGTTACGAATTTCATTCTCTTTGGAGATAAAGCAACTAAGACAACAATTCCTATAACTTCACTAAAGGTTGGAGATGAGGTTCTGTTGAGACTACAGGGTGGTGCTCGACATTCTTGATGTTTATATTTGAGAAATAGATATCATATATGCATTGAAAATCTACAATGCTTGGGTATAATGGGAATTTTTTTACATGGTTATTGTTCTTGTGGGGATATATTTAGTACCCTGAAGAAATTATATATTTACATGGTTATTGTTCCGGGTTTGGGTCCAATGCACTTCAATTTGCGGGTGTTTACTGTTTACTGTCAAATATATATATATATATATATATATATTGTAGGTAAATATTATTCTTGATGTTTGATCCAATGGAAACTGAAGAGGGTTGCTCCCATGTTGTTGAAGAACAAATCTCTCAGTTAGATAACTTAATTGTGCCAATTATTCATGAGCACTTAAAACCAAAAATAGGAATGACTTTCGACAAATTAGAGGACGCTGAAAAATTCTACAGAAATTACGGAAAGGCTGGAGGTTTTGATATTCGTAATAGCACAACAAATTATGGGAAGGATAGAGAGTTAATTTCTAAAAGTTATGTTTGTTCGAAAGAAGGAGTGTTAAAGAGCAAATCGATGGAAATTCGACGATGTGGTACAATTAGAACAAATTGTAAGGCCTTGATTCGCTTTAAATTAGACAAGAACATTGGCATATGGAGTGTCTACAAGTTCGTGGAAGAACATAATCATACAATTACTTCACCGAGTAGAACTCATTTTCTAAGGGGAAACCGTGAGGTAACAAGTGCGAAGAAGACTTTGATGAAGCAGTTTGGAGAGGTGAACATTCCAACAAACAAGCAAATGACCTTCTTTGAAAATTCTAGCGGAGGTTTTCATAGAATTGGATGCATTGAGACCGATGTGAGAAATTATGAAAGAGATTTGAGAGAGGAGAGGCGCGGTCATGATGCACAAATGATGTTGGATCATTTCAAGTCGGAACAAGAGAAGAATCCTTCATTTTATTATGTTTATGAAGTTGATGAAGAGAAGCGCTTAACTCATTGTTTTTGGGTGGATGGCATTGCTCGAATGAATTATCAACACTTTGGCGATGTTGTCTCCTTCGATGCCACGCATAACACAAATCAATATGGCTTGGTATTTGTGCCGTTTGTAGGCATAAATCACCATTGGCAAAGTGTTTTTTTAGGATGTGGCTTGATCCCAAACGAAGAGGCGAAGTCTTTCGTATGGTTGTTTAACAAATGGATTGAAGCAATGGGTCATCCTCCTTCGGGTATGATTACAGATCAATGTCTTGGCATATGTAAGGCAATTGAAACAGTTTTTCCAGAAATTCGGCACAGGTTTTGCATTTGGCATATCTTGGACAAAGTTCCGGAGAAGTTGGGTAAATGGGCTTATAGAATGGAATTTATGAAATCTTTCAAAGAAAATATTTGGGACTCCGAGACTGCTAGCTCTTTTGAAGAGAATTAGGTTTTAATTCTTAAGAAAAATGGATTGGAAACGCATGATTGGCTAAAAGATATCTATAAAATTCGTGAAAAATGGGCTCCGGTTTATCATAAACAACACTTTTGGGCTGGAATGTCTAGCAGTCAAAGAAGTGAAGGGATGAATGCGTTGCTAAAAATGCATGTATCAAGGAAAAATTCACTTCATGATTTTGTGATAATCTTTCAGAGGGTCTTGGCGAGACAAAGAGATGTGGAGCTTAAAGAAGATCATTGCACAGTGGAGAAAAAGCCAAAATTGAAGACTTTGTGGTCAATAGAAAAACAAATAGCCCAAATCTACACGAAAAAAATCTTTTATATTTTTCAAGACGAGCTTCAACCTAGCTTAATAAATAACATTGAGCTGGTAAAAGAAAATGAAAGAGAAAGTACTTTCCAATTGAATTTTTGTGGTCATGATGAAAGATTGAGACATATTATATATTGCAAAACAACTAAAATGGTCCGTTGTTCGTGTCTCATGTTTGAATTCAAGGGCATTCCATGCCGACATATCTTGGCATATCTTAAAATCACCAATCATGGTGAGTTACCGGAGCAATATATTCTAAGAAGATGGTGCCGAAATGTCAAAAAAGGGTTGTTCTTAGAGATGGTAATATCATTGGAGATAATGCCACAATTAATTTTGCTTCTCGTTTTAGTGAACTAAATTGCTTAGCTAATGAAATGATCGAAGAGGGGCTATCTTCTAATGACGCATATGAATTAATGCGTGAAATGATGATGGATGCTATTAATAAGGTGCAACGTTTGAAACTCGTCACTGATGAAGAAATTGGACAAGATGTGGAAGCACATTATATGAATGCGGAGTGTTCTCCAAATATGGTTCATGAACCAAGTCAAGGAAGAACAAAAGGAAGGCCTAAAGGGAAGAGGTTAAAGCCATCGAGAGAGATCCGCAAATGCCGGCCTAGGAAATGCAAATTATGTGGAAAGAGAGGACAAAATCATGATAGCAGAAATTGCCCTCTAAAGTTGTCAAGGTAGTGTGTCATTTGTTTTAGTAATACAAATGCTATTATTTTTTTAAACTTTTTTTAAAGTTTGTGCAATGATCTTTAATATGTTTTGCTATCATCAATTTTTTTAGTGATTCAATGGAACAAGATAATATTGATGAAGCCAGTGATGATTTAGAAGATTCCTGTGAGGAAGGTAATGGTCAATACATACTGAATTACTTGTGCATTGCTATTTTTTTATATAATTTGATTTTTTTAATGTGATGAAGCACTTTGTTTTTGTTTTTTTTTAAATACAGATGAAGTTCTCACTATTGCATGAAGTTTGATCAAGGTTGGTAGAGCAAATCATAACACTGTTGGTGAGAATTCGTGATCATCGTTATGTATATGTGTTTTTGAGGTGTGATTGAGCAAATGGGTAATTCGTGATCAATTTTTTGCAGATTGTCCTTCAGTATCTGATCCAATGTTTTAAAGACGTTCAGTATCTGATCCAATGTTTTGAGCTTGTATAATTAGACAAAAAAGGAGTGTTAATGAGATGGATTTTGTCCTTCAGTCACCTGCTTTTTTCATTTTATTATTATTTTTTTCTTTGCTGCTTATTTGGCTCCTAATGTGTAGATGTAGCAAGTAAAGCAACTGATGAATTATGAGAAATGTAGCCACGAATGATTTCCCCCTTGTTTACGAGAAATTTATGCATTGCAGTTGACTTCGTGTACCATTGATCTGTTATCTTTACATTGATGCATTTCCTTTGTTAATAATTTAGATACCAAGGGTCCAAGCTTTGTATTATTTTGCTCCAATGGTGCTTATACTCTGATGTAATGTTGTTTCTCAGGTCGAAATATCATGTAAAAAGCTGGTTCATAAAAGCCTCTAGTTTTGCTTGAAACTGTGGGAGTTGAAGCATTTTATCCCCCTTCATCTGAGAAAGAATTTTATCCCCCTTCATCTGAGAAAGAGAACAACCTGACTCAGATTTCCGATTGAAAGTAGTCCAACATAAGATTGAAATTTGAACTAGTTAGCATCAGGTCATAATTATGACATGCACAAGCTTTAGTCAAACAAGCAAACTAACACAATCGCCTTTACTCCAGAGATTATAACTAACATTTAACTTTTGTCAAAACGGCAACAAAACCATCAGGTCATAATTATGAAGAAGACCAACGACAGTCAGTCGAACAAAAGTTTTTTCCCCCTTGTGAAAGGTTGATCTTGGTATAATGTCGATGTTACAGGTGCTGCTTGGTATAATGTCGATGTAATAGTAAAGAACTTGGCAACATAAATGGGCACAGATCTGGTGAAGATGAAAATAGAATCACCACACTCACACATGCCAAACACAAAGTAGACAACAATTGTAATACACAATCAATTGATAGCAACATAAATACACTTTTGACCAGAACTTTCATAAAGATTGACCAGCACATGTAATACACAATCAATTGATAGCAACCACCACACTCACACATGCCCAACACAAAGTAGACAACAGCATATCTAACACAATATGTTGTAAAACAATCTTCTTACAGGACACCCAATTCTCATAGAAATGACCAACAGAAGCTCACCTAGCCAAACATACATCACAAGTGAACCATAACAACTGAACCATAACATATAACCATATCAATATTGAACATTCGTTTACATTAGTCATCCACATTATATGTTGCTCTATCATTTGACTATAACACAGAGCAACAATATCAGTACAACGATACTTATAAATTTTATATATAAAATTACATCATTCATCATTTTTTTCAAAACCTCAACATTTTTTTCTAGCCTTTCCAGCCTTTTTGTGATGTTCTTGGTATCACCCACCCATTCGAAGAAGTTGCAACCCTTACAATTAGGTCCCTTGTATCTCGGGCATCCATAAAATTCCAAGCCCTTATTGTTTCCTTGCTTGCACAAAGATATTCTGCAAATTAACCCACAATAACATCTTCTTTGTACTAAACCCTCATCTTCTTCTCCACTCAACTCTTCCGAAAAGTTCTTCATCTTTTATCTGCAAAAAACATACTACAAACAAATGGATATCACTGTAAAAGGATTGTGTAAGTACCCGATGTCATCTACTCACAACGTAATCCAATTTATGTACATAGGTAAACCTCAATTGCATTTACATGTTTAATAGTTCATTGGTGGTCTTATTTAGTGTAGTACAATCAGAATTAAATTACTTTCTACTGGGAAAAAAAGAAACATAACCAAAATTTAATGGAAATTTTCATTATAAAGTTGACATCGTTTCTGTAGGATGGGAATTAAATTGGCTGTCGACTGGTAAACCAAAATTTAATGGAAATTTTCATATTGGCCAAACCTCAACTATCTGAATATCAACTATCTGAACTAGGTAAACCTAAATTGCATGAAAATAGCAAGGAAATTATTAGCATAAAAATACCTATATGAGGAAAATTATTAGCATGAAAATTCAGAATATCAGGAAAATTATTAGCATGAAAATGCAGAATATCAAGAAATTTAATAGCATCAAAATTCAGAATATACAAGGAAATTTACCAAGAAGATGGCGTGGGATTTTGCTGAGCCCGTCAATTTTATTTCGAAATTTTTTTAGCTTCCACAAATGAGATCCTGGAGGATGAAGATGAAGTCGACGAACCCTCGGTTACTGTGCAATCCGTTGGGGGAGGGGATCACGGGTTGAGAGAGAGATCGAGTTCCTGAGCTTTCTTTCGAATTTGAGAGATCCTGGAGGTTGAAGATGAAGAAGAGGAGGCGAGAGAGAGAGAGATCGAGTTCTTGAGCTTTCTTTCGAATTTGAGAGATCCTGGAGGTTGAAGAGTTGAAGATGAAGAAGAGGAGGGCCTTGGTTACTGTGAGATATTTTGGGGGATTGGATCACGGGTTGAGAGAGAGAGAGTTGCACGGGTTGAGATTTGATAGAGTTGGGGACAGCTGTTAGTAACTCAGATCCAACGGTCACGAAACTTCAGTCAGATCCAACGGCCCATGTTTTCCTATTTTCTTCATCATCCCTCACGTTCTGAGCAGCAGCCACCCCTCTCAAAACCCTATAAAAATTTTATCTTACTTTGGGAGAAGAATTGTGAAGCGGGGTTTGAGAGGAGGGTGAGATCTTTGCCTTTGGTGAAGGAGGATCGAGTCTCTCTTGCGTTTGAGAGATCAGCACGAATTTTTTTGAGATGAGGTGAGTTTCATCTTCCCCAAATCCATCCACGTTTACCTGGTTTTTATTAGATTTTAAAACTTATTTTATGTGTAAAGATCACCCTTTTTATCTGTATGACATAAATATTTAATCTTTCTGATTTAAAAAGTTATGAAACACATTTCTTTAAATTGGGTTGAAGGTTTGAAGTAAATATAACATGAGATTTTTGTTAATCAATTTGTTTTCATAATGAATTTACAAACATAAACATGTCAGGGTAATTAGAATCCTTTAATTTTTTTGATATTTGTGTTTTCATATATGAGAGTAAACCCTAATTGCACTAAATTGAGATTTTGTATATGAGTTTTTTGCAAATTTTTGATTTTGATGAATTTTTGAGAAAATCTATTATTTTTGAGGAGTTGAAAACTTTTCACTAGTCGATCGACTGATCAAGAGAATCAGTCAACCGAGTTAGCAAGAAACTAAGATTTTTCTTCTGATAGGTCGACTGACACATGTATTCGGTTGACCGATTAAGGTTGGATTTTGTGCATGTTTGTGCATGTTGCCACTCGGTCAACTGATAAGATATATCGGTCGACTGGTCTAGGGCTGTTTGTAACATTGATCTTTCCCACATGATTTTGATCGTGAACACGAAGTGTGAGTCGCACGTCGACACACGTACGAGACCATGGGAGGGCACGTAATGGATTTGAGCACGCACGAGCCTATTGATATGCGTAGTTTAATGCTTTGCGTATGTCACGAAAAGGAGTGACGATTATTTCAGTTTACATTAGTTGGGGATGCTCGAGTACGTTAGTCCGAGCACCGTATTAAGAACGCGGGTGACTACACTCTGAGTGGGTTATTCCATGCACCGCATTGAGAACATGGTTGACTGCTCTCCGTGATGCATTATTGTTTTAGTGGTTGAGTGTGCGGGTCTATAGACAGCATGACATAGAGGGTGATTGCACTCTTAATGTGTTAGTCCATGAGCCGCATGATTTAGCGAACGATTATGTTAGACCCTAGAGGGGGGTGATTTGAGTCTTATGCTAATCTAATCCGATTTTATGCAAATTAAAACTTATTAACAAATTATTCTTACAAGATAGATATACAAGATAGATGTGAACAAGAAAGAGAAATATAAGCACAAATTAAATATATGCAAGGCAAACTCAAACACACGATATGATCACGGAGTTCGGTCAACCCTTAACCTACGTCTCCGCTCCTCACCTTGAGGAGATCTCCACTATCGGCACACCCGGTTTGGAAGCCGGAACTTCTCTACACACTCAGTTTTCTAGCTTACCGAAAACTCAATAACTCACTCACAATGTACATACACAAACTACAACCTCAAGTGTTAGTCCTCACGTATTGCTTCCCTTAAGTGCTTGGGTTTACTACCTTTCACTAGGCTTTACACCCGACGCCACTCCTCTCGATATCGACTATGTCCTCACCACACTCTCCTCTTGATGTTAATGTGTATACAAAGTGAATCTCACAATAAAGCTCACAAATACAATAATTTGTTCTCTACATTTGATGAGAACACAATTAAGCTCACTCTTGCCAAATCACACACCACTACCCAATATATTGTATGAAGATATTATAAGCTCAACAAAGGTGTGTGTGATAAAAGCGAATAATAAATTTGCAACTCAATTAATATAGCTAAGATATAAATGTGAATAATGAATCAATAAGATTTATAAAAATGAGTTTAGAAAACTTCTCAATAAACAAGAAGGACTGTAGAATGATGATGAGGATGAGATCCTCAATTGGAATTGAATGCCTCTTCTTGTTGTAAAAACTCCTCTTTTGAAACAAACCACAAACAAGCTTAAACACTTGTTAAACTCTTTATAAAACTCAATTTAGACAAAATTCTTAGATTATAGAATGATAGAGGCAATGAGGTATTTATAATCACTCAAGACATCAGCCAAAACCCCATAGAAAAGACCAAAATACCCCCAGAACATCTAATGAAAAACTAGTCGTTATAACTCAACGGTCATATCGGCGGTCGACCACGAAATATTGGCGGTCGACCGCAACGCAGTGAAAAACGGGCAGATAGTTCTGGAAAATAGGCGGTCGACCGTGGCGGTCAATCACGAGAGAGCTGATGCTCTCTGGACTTGCTTTGGTCAACCGTCACAGTCAATCGCAAGTCATATAGAGGCCAATTCCAGTCTCTACCATAGAGAGAGGGATTATTTTATGCAAAGCTTATCAAGTGCTCCACTAACTCTGGATTGTCTTGCATACCATCAGATACTTCTGTTAAAAATATCGATATAGGATCTTTTCTGGCTTAGCAGGCTTGCGGGAATCGCTAAAGATCCTGCGTCAAGTTGACGTTTGAGCTCATGGTCCATATTGATCACACTGGAATCCGGATCGTGAAGTGCTCCTCGCCTGATTGTAAGCCCACTCAGTCGTTGCATCTTATTCTATGAATAACAATTGCATTAAAGCTCCA